TCGTACTCTTCTCGTCTCTCTCTCTCTCTCTCTCTATATATAGTATATATATATATATATATATATATATCCTGGTATATTAAAATTGTCATTGGAGTGGATTGGGACAGCATTTGGATTAGGTAGGTGAATAGGTATCGGCACGCTCCTTTGTGCGTATCCTTAACGTTACATCTAGTGATCCTGCATGTATATGGTAGACGTTGTGATACTACGTGAATAAGGGTCGAGTAATGCCCATTCCAATCAGAGCTCGTGCGTGCGTGGCATGCACTTTGTACGGATATTTTTTATATGTGTTATATTTTAGACAGTGTGCCATGTACTATTCAATGGGGGCAATCATTCGCCTTTTAAATACCACACTTGCTATCGCTGAGTTTTAATATAAAGAGCACGTAAACCGTTGGATTTATGTTTTCTTCATAATATCAGGATGATAATATATGGTACGTTTGAGTATGCAATCAATGTAATGAGGTATTATGTAATACCCCCTCTACATCTTTCCCACTCAAGAACTGTATCGTACTCCCTTTTTTGCAACTATTTTCGGCAAACCAACATCGACACAGCTCAGCCGCCCTTTCTGCACAGACAAAAAGTCAAATGACCCCCCCTCTATTTTTAACATTTAAACAAATTCCTATCGGGTACAAGGCTCCAAGAGTAAATTCCAATGTCGAGAATATACCCGATTTTTATGTCAAAAACTCGCGTTACTTACCTATACCCCCTCCCCCACACACACACACCACACACGCACGCACGCACACGCACGCGCGCACACACGCACGCACGCGCGCGCACACACGCACGCACACTCACACACACACACACACACACACACACACACACATACGCACGCACGCACGCACGCACGCACACTATCAAGAGCTAAGGTATTATTAGCGCTTGACATTATTTAATCCCTGTATGGGTCAGCATATTTGGCTCATGTACTATATGCCGCGGCGATATCTCTACGAGTAGCGCCGCATGTGTAGCAATTTAATCTTTTCATATATTCCGTGACAATGTAATGACATCATGTAATCCGTGATTGCTCTTGTAAGTGCTCGGGTTCGTGAAACCAACCACGACAGTGCCGAAGTACCGAATCCCGACCTATTGCATATTATGCACGCTACGTATATGACCGCAAATGTTGATGAATAATAATAATAATAATAATATAATAAATATCGCCATCGCGGACTAATTAAGCTGTCAAGATTTGTTCACAATAATGTATTAATGAATGAATTGATGAAATGAATTTATCATGAAATAAATTTACTCGCGTATGCTGATTTTTCGTATGCGAGACTGTTTTCACACCGTCGATGTCTAGCAAGTCTTATTGTCTGGCTTATATTTTACTTTGCTTTCTATTGTATTTTATTATACATGATAGTATTGTTATCTAGTCGTGGAGTAAGCCGGTTTGTATCTGAGAGGATCTTAAATTGACGTGACTCTGCGGCGCTAGGGCTAAGCCCGTAAAAGTTGCTGTTGAAGTAAAGCTGTCGTGTATTAGCCTTTGAAGGCAAACCGCTTAGCATGAACATTATTGTTTATCCTAAGATGACTGAACCAGTAAAATTATTATTCTTGTATTGTCTGCAGTAATCGCATTGTCACGCAGAATGATCATCGAAAAAGAAAAGTCGGAATTGCACGGATGGAGTTTTGTAGTTGCATTTTATTTGTTAGTTACAATAATTACGAAGGGCCTATAAATATCACACTTGCAGAGTATTGTGTGTGCTTTGTACACGCACACCAAAAAGCGGTGGTTCTCTTCAGTATTTCAAATGTAAACGTCCGTCCGTGTCATACGGAGTTTGGGAATGATCTTTTCTTAATGAAGTCGTGGGTCAAGGCAGGAATTATCATGAGACCAACGCTCGGTGTCACGTTATGGGTACGTTCATACTCGTCGCTCTTCTCCTCGCGTATCTCCGTCGGCCGCAGCCGTGGTTTGAGCGAACAGAAGAGCAGTCCGGGTTGGTCATTTCTGTGCCGTGGTTCAGTCGTTCGTCGCATCTAGTAGGCCGCCTTGGCAACACCAGCACCAGAATTGCCGTAGCCGGCATTGCTACCGTAGCCGGCATTGCTACCGTAGCCGGAATTGCTACCGTAGCCGCTCTGGTCAGCAGGAACGTCGACGTGGGCGGGTCCAACACGTGGGTTGGCGGGGGCGACGCCGACGGCCTGGATGCCGTTGTACGGGATGTTCCTGGCAAAGGCATAGGCGGCTCCGGCAGATCCGGCTCCCTGGCTGACGGCATTCTGGGTGAAGCTGGCCTGGGCCTCCTGCTGGGCAGTGCGGCTAGCCTGGCGGGCAGAGGCGGCGACGCCGCTACCAGAGGCAGCGCGGTCGGCAGAGGCGGCCTGCCATTGGCGGGCAGATCCAGCTCCCCACTGGCGTCCAATCACGGCCGGAGCGGTGGCCGGGGCGGCTCCCGCTGGGGCGTGGCCTGCAGCCTTGGATTTGGCTCCCTGGAAGTTGAAGTTGCCGACTCCGACGAACTCGTCGCTTCCCTCGAAGGCGTTGTTGAGGCCGATGTTGGCGCCTCGGGCTGTGTATGAGCCGGAGATGGCACCAGCGTTGCCAAGTCTGCGTCCGTTGCCGAGTCCGTGACCGAGTCCGTGTCCGAAGCCAAGTCCGCGTCCGTAGCCGAGTCCGTGACCGAGTCCTTGTCCGTAGCCAAGTCCGCGTCCGTAGCCGAGTCCACCTCAACCGAGTCCATGTCCGTAGCCAAGTCCGCGTCCGTAGCCGAGTCCGTGACCGAGTCCTTGTCCGTAGCCAAGTCCGCGTCCGTAGCCGAGTCCACGTCCGTAGCCTAGTCCGTGGCCGAAGTTGAAGCGATTGCCCGACCGGTTGCAGCCGTATCCATTGCATCGCCTGGCACGGCCGGTGGCGGATGCCACGACCACCTGCAAGAAGCCGAGATCATTCTAAAATTTGTTTCTGTTTCCTCCGTGGTAATTGCGCCTGGTGTTAAACAACATCTCTGCGGGCGCTAGTGGTTGCGCTTATGTCAGTGGGTTACTAGCAGCAGCAGCTGTGAGCGCGCTCAGGCGTTACTGTGTTTAGCGAACATTTCTGTTTCAACAACTTAAACTGGAAAACAACAACGGTAATGTACTTACACAGGCCAGCAGAAGAATCGCCAAATACTTCATGATGACTGAAAATAAAGAACAAAATGAAATTGTAGATCTAACTCTCCCATTTCTATTGAGTGAGTGCGGGTAGCGCTGACGCCAGTCCGCGTGTGCTTTATGGAATGAACTAAAATTCTCCGGGCTGAATAAAAAGCACTGCGCGTCTCTAAGTTCATATCCATCTATGTAAGGAAACTATATCATACCGAGAGCCGATCAGTGGACACGTACTGAGTCCACTGAGATGATAGCATAATTTGCATACTAGAATTCGCGGTGAAACTAAATAGCTACACTATGGACGTATATTACAAAGGCATGCTAGCGCACGACCGAGGCAAACATACTTACACTATAGGTGAGTGATGAGTCTACAGGCCTTCTCCACACACAATAATCTGCAAGTGCTGTCTATCCCTACTCAGAGCAGTCCTTATATTGGCTGCCACCTGCCCGATGACCCATGATGGCCTAGTTCCCCTGCTCCCCGGCGTCCACCCCGGTCCTGCGACATTTTTTGCTGTCCGCCTCGCGAAGGTTTTACCTTCAGCCGATGACAGTTATTCGACCACAGCCACGATGATTAACGAGCAGTGTGCGTGCGTGCGTACGTGCGTGCGTGTGTGGGTGTGTGCGTCTGTGTGGGTGTGTGCATGTGTGTGTGTAGTGCGTGCGTGCGTGAGTGTGTGTGTGTGTCGGCGCTCCGCTAACCACGGTGCTCATTCACTAACCCTGTGGCTGCTACCGCCTGGCCTTCGCGCACACGCCCACTGTCTCTGCTGTCATGTCGCCATTCCATCGCGATCACTGTCATCAATCTAAAACACCATTACTGGTAACGCTCCCCCATAGGAATCATAAAGCACCTCCCCCCGCCACCGCCGCCGCCCGTGTAACCGTATAATCCGCACTCCGCGCTCCCTACCTCGTGTAACCGTGTAACCTCCGTTCCTAGAGCCCCACCATGTGTAATCGCTTAACCCCCTCCCTCAGTGAAGCCTCAACCAACATGTAACCCTCCCCCGCGCTCCGTACCTCGTGTAACCGTGTAACCTCCGTTCCTAGAGCCCCACCATGTGTAATCGCTTAACCCCCTCCCTCAGTGAAGCCCCACCCACTATGTAACCCTCCTCCGCGCTCCGTACCTCGTGTAACCGTGTAACCTCCGTTCCTAGAGCCCCACCCCGTGTAAGCGCCCTATGTCACGTATAACTGTGTTAACCCCCTCCCCCCGCGATGCCCCACCCCGTGTATCCATGTACCCCCCGCACCCTCACCCCGTATTTAACCAACCATGTTCAGATTATGATTACTATTTTATCGACAATATGGTCGAGGTTATAACAGGGTTGGTGATGGGGGAGGCACGTGTCGGTGGTGGAGAATCGGTGTAAGGGGGTGGAGGAGAAGGGTGTGTGATGTTAGGTTTGTCGGGGACGCCATTTTTCGTTTGCAGTAAGTAACCACAAGTGGTACATTACAGACGTATTTTTGAGCGTTTTTTTGCAGCTAGCGATAGTAAATAACGGTACATGAATAATAACAGCTGCATTTTTAGCGCTTCTTGCTATTACCGTCAGTAAATAATAGGTAAACACAACAAAAAATGTAGAAAACATGACTATTTGCAGGTATATCACTGAGCTATTCTTGGAGCTAGTGTTACAATGTAGCGGGTGCGTGATTTACTGATGCACGCGTGTTGGAATCCGTGTCGTAAGCGCCCGCCTATCACGCTCCGCAGGCGAGCGCACCGTAATTACACTTTAAAGGGGGGAACCTTCGCCCGGATAGCTGTCTCGCTGCGTGCTCCCGCGCACACATCTGCGTTAGAGAAGCCGCTTGTCGTAAAAGATGTTGATTAGCTTAGTGACCTACTGACAAACTACTGCGACATTATGTGAAAGCGCGGGTGTGTCCGCGCTGGTTATATATAGGTACGCGGGATGGGGGAGATACAAGGCCACAATTCCCAAAGCCCAACCTTGCACGTTCCTGCGTGTGTGTGTGTGCGTGCGTGTGTGCGTGCGTGTGTGTGCGTGCGTGCGTGTGTGTGCGTGCGTGTATCTACATGAGCACATGTGCTTGCATGTACGTCTATGTGCGTTTGCATGCACGAGTGGCACGTGTTTGTGCGCGCGTACGTACGAGTGCGTGTTTCTTCTATTCATAATTACCTCCGCCAAGGAGTTGGCAGGAGGTTATGGTTTCATCGGCGTGCGTTTGTTGGTTTGTAACACCGTTCTTTGTGTACAGCCTAACTCAAAAAGTTATGGACGGATTGTCATAAAATTTTCAGGATAGGTCAGAAATGGGCTAACTTAGAACTGATTAGATTTTGGTGGTGATCTGGATCCAATTAATTAAATTTTCAGGATAGGTCAGAAATGGGCTAACTTAGAATTGATTACATTTTGATGGTGATCCGGATCCAATTAATTAATTAATTAACTAACTAATTAATAAAATTTTCAGGATAGGTCAAAAATGGGGTAACTTAGAATTGATTACATTTTGCTGGTGATCCGGATCCAATTAATTATTTATTTAATTAATTAATAAAAATTTCCACAGTGAGAGAATTCAGCTGCCTTGGCGGAGGTCTGCGCTCTCTGAGTGCTCTAGTTATTTATAAGATAGTTATCCTGGTGGTGGGGATCATTAGGGTCAGAGGTCAGGAGGCCAGGATCTATCGGATTCTATGGGGTGGGGTTCATCAATGCTAGCTAGCTACTGACATGCATTACGGTCGTCTAATGCCTATATATTGAGCTTGTATGGAGTTAAGGAGTGGTGTCTATCGGGATCGCCTGAGGCTAGCGACTAGTGCATATTGGATTGTCTGGGGTTAAGAACTTAAGTCTATTTGGGGTCGTCTATGATTGAGAAGTCGTGTCTATTGGGGTCGTCTTGAGCTAAGGTCTGAGGTCCTGTGAGACTAAGAGCTTGGTTATTATATATATGGAGCTAATTTGGGGTCACGTAGGAGGCTGGGAGATGTTGGGATCCGGTGAATGCTGACTGGAAATCCGATTAAGTTGAACATTAATCACTGCATGTTTAGAGTGTTACGAGTGTTACTAGATTGCAGCCGATCCTATATCCTCCTTGCACGCTATAGTACTTGTGTGTGCCAGTACACGAATCGCGAATAGTATATCTTAGTATACTACATGTATGCAGTTTATATATTATAATATATTTTTATTCATTTATTTATTCATTCATTTATATATATATACACGTATATGCCACCAATACACTACATGAGTAGTACATGATAATTGTTATTCAATGGGGCACTATGCGCGAGCACACGTTTCACTCGGGTTACCGATAACCAGAAATTGAAAATGTAAGTGTATCTTTCACAAGAAGTCCAATAAATTCGACACATCCTTCAGCTATCGGAATTCCTTTTCCGGCCACTGATAGGCTCATACACCAGCAGTGATCAGTTTCAAACTCGCGCAGTGTCATTACTAGCAGAGATTTCGACATGTACGGTCGTTACTGGTAGTATGGCATGTGCGTTTCACTGCTTTTCTTTAGGCATAGCAGCTTAACCCGTCATGATTTACTATTTCCAGTAGTCGTAACGACCCGCCATTATCGTGCAGTCTGAGCATATGTTATTCTTTGATTTTATTTCCTATATATCGTTCTTTTGTTATTACCTTAGGTGAGTAACAAATTGGTTTCTGCTTGGTTGCAATATAATGCGTCGTGTGTAGTACAGAGTGATTTATTTTCCGTCTGTAATTTCGCCGATCTAACGTTGTATTACTTTAGCTGTGACCTTGCCTGCATGGACGTTAGATTTTTGTTCGGATTATCTGTTTCACACACACGCACGTGCACACACTCACACACACACACTCTCTCTCTCTCCTTCTCACACGCACACGCACACGCACACGCATACGCACACACACAACACACAAACACACACTCTCTATCTCTCTCTATTTATTTATCTATCTATCTATCTATCTATCTATCTATCTATCTATCTATCTATCTATCTATCTATCCTTCATTCTATTTATCTATCTACCTATCTATATATCTATTTATTTATCTATCTGTCTATCTATCTATCTATCTATCTATCTATCTATCTATCTATCTATCTAGCTAATCATCTACTATCTATCCATCTATCTATCTCTATCCATCTATCTATCTATGTGTCTGTTCTGTCTGTCTGTCTGTATGTCTGTCTATCTATCTATCTATCTATCTATCTATCTATCTGTATGTCTGTCTGTCTATCTATCTGTCTGTCTCTTCTGTCTCTCTCCCTTTCCATCACTCTCTGCGTGCGAGTGTGTGTGGGGGGATCTCTGTGAACGTGTTTGTGTGTGTGTATGTGTGTGTGCGTGTGTCCGTGCGTGCGTGTGTGGGTGGTGTATGTGCGTGTGTGTGTGTGTGTGTGTATTTCTAACGCGACTAGCGACGACAGATGACAGACGAGAGAGAGATGTTTTTGCACTTGATTTATTTTTCTTCAAGCTTGCTCGTTTTAGTTACAAAATATATAAAATAAATACGAAACGCCTATGAATATTACGAGCGTGTGTGTGTGTGCGTGCGTGCGTGCGTGCGTGCGTATTTCTAACGCGACTAGCGACGACATATGACAGACGAGAGAGAGAGATATATATTTTCATGCACTTGATTTATTTTTCTTTAAGCATGCTTGTTAGTTACAAAATATATAAAATAAATACGGAGGGCCTAAGAATATCACACTTGCAGAATACTCGCTCGATGTACGTACAAAACTATAGCACTGTGATGGAATCCCTGCGGCTTACATCGCTACGTGCTTATTTTTACCGGCTTTATGTGCGATTTCGTTACGTAAACTGGTAGAGTCAGATATATCACGAGAGTTATGCTCTCTCTTTCCCTTTTTCTGTTTCGAACGCTCATAGATGAGGAAAGCTTAGACCAGATGAAGGCGTGAAATTCGAAAATTTGAACCGATAAGAAACTGCGCCGGTTTTATGATGACTAAGACACGTAAAGAGAGATCGGTCTTCGTTCGTTTTCCGTTCCCCGTGTTGTGCTGATGGATGTTTCGGCGGCGGATAGTGGGGTCGACTGGACTTCTTGTTCTGGCTTCCTACTCGGCATCATCACCCCCGTACCCTTCATCATCGTCAGCGGCGTCATCGTCAGCGGCGTCATCGCCACGGCCGCCATTGCCAGGGCCGCCATAGCCAGGGCCGCCGTAGCCGTATCGGCGAACGCCGTAGCCGACCGCGGGCGCGTATCTAGAGGCAACGACGTCATCAGCAGGGACGGCGACGTCGGCCGGTCCGACCTGTGGGTTGGCGGGGGCGACGCCGACGGCCTGGATGCCGTTGTACGGGATGTTCCTGGCGAAGGCGTAGGCGGCTCCGGCAGATCCGGCTCCCTGGCTGACGGCGTTCTGGGTGAAGCTGGCCTGGGCCTCCTGCTGGGCAGTGCGGCTAGCCTGGCGGGCAGAGGCGGCGACGCCGCTACCAGAGGCAGCGCGGTCGGCAGAGGCGGCCTGCCATTGGCGGGCGGATCCAGCTCCCCACTGGCGTCCAATCACGGCCGGAGCGGTGGCCGGGGCAGCTCCCGCTGGGGCGTGGCTTGCAGCCTTGGCTTTGGCTCCCTGGAAGTTGAAGTTGCCGACTCCGACGAACTCGTCGCTTCCCTCGAAGGCGTTGTTGAGGCCGATGTTGGGGCCGCCGGCCGTGTATCGGCCGCCGACGGCGTGCGCAGCGCCGACGTTGACGCCGTAGTAGCTTGGTCTGAGAGCGTAGCCGGCGCATCTGCCTCCCGCACAGCCGCGGAAGCCGTGGCGCAGGCCGCGTCCGTAGCCGAAACCGTGCCCGTATCCTAGCCCGTTGCCGTATCCTCCATAGCCGTTACCGTATCCTCCATAGCCGCGACCGTATCCTCCATAGCCGTGACCGTATCCTCCATAGCCGTTGCCCAGGCCGTGGCCGTAGCCGTGACCGTATCCTCCATAGCCGTTGCCCAGGCCTTGGCCGTATCCCCCATAGCCGTTGCCTAGGCCGGTGCCGTAGCCGTATCCTCCATAGCCGCGGCCGAGTCCGTGGCCGTAGCTGTATGCTCTCGGACCGTAGTTGTGGGAGGCGTACGTACCAGCAATCTGCAAGTAACGTGGGGAAACTCGTGGTCATCGAACATGCGTACAGCGTGAAGGGGCCCTGGAGGCTGGGGAGGAGGGGGCTTTTCCTAGCGGGGAGAGAGATGAGAATTGCGAGCGGCCCGGTAGTTTTACGGCCGAACGATAGTTTTTGTCCTTCTAAACTGTGTGCCGCTGCACGCGAAGCGAGAGTTTAAAGGGGGAAATACGAAGGGATTGACGCGTAAAATTTACAAGATTGAATGTGGGGGCATCACAGAAACCATTCGTCAGGAGGTTCGCACGGTTATTTCTTAGGTTGCGGCTGCCGTTATTCTAGGTAATAGGTGTTGATTATCGTACGGCAACGCTTATACTTACACAAGCCAGCAGAACAAGAGCCAGAACCTTCATTGTACCTGCAAGAACAGACCAACACCCGCGTCAGATTTTACACATGCCTAATCTCGCACCGCTGACAGATGATTAGAATGATTTCGTGATATCACGATGTTACCATGAAAGGACCGGCCACGACGCCGCACGATGCCCTGCTTAACGTAATACTTGAAATACTACTTAAGAAAAAACATTAAATTAAGTTCATTTTTCCAAATTTATAGAGGAAGAGTGCGCGAGCAAAATATCGTCAGGAGGTAGACTTACCAGTGATAGTACTTCTCAGGAGGTGTAGATAGAGAGTAATCTGCAAGTGTGAGTGCTGGGTCACATCGGCGCCTTGCCTTATTTATACGTGGAGAGTCGCCGACGCGTCTCTCATTGACCTACATCGCGACGCCCGTTGATTGCGATTAAAAAATTCCCTTCGGATGCCGTTACGAGCGTAAACACATCGCCCCTGACCCTCTAAACAGTCTAACCGGAGGCGACGCCGGTGGCATGCTTCTGTTCTCGCCGCCACCCGCACCTCCTTTGTCATGTTTGAGCTGCGACGGTGAAACGAGGTAACAACGGCGCACCGCGGTGACACGACGTTTGACATTGATTTGAGATGTGCTAAGTAGCGTATATGTAGCCTCGACGGCGCCGCTAACTCGTTGTTGAAATTGAAAATAAATCGGAATTTTTTTAAACCCAATGAACAAAATATCGATCATTTATACGAATGGGGTTATCATTTATAGATTATTAATCGTTGTATATATATATATATATATAGAGAGAGAGAGAGAGAGAGAGAGAGAGAGAGAGAGAGAGAGAGAGAGAGAGAGAGAGAGAGAGAGAGAGAGAGAGAGAGAGAGAGAGAGAGAGAGAGAGAGAGAGAGAGAGAGAGAGAGAGACGACGAGACGACGGAGGGAGGACGGAGGAGGGTAAGGGAGGGACGGGAACGGGAGGGTTAAGGAAGGTTAGGGAGGAGGAGGAGGACGGGAAGGTAAGG